GTTACCTTGCTTGCTAGGGCATGGAACGGCAGGCTTAGTAGATGACGGGATAAATTGCTAGCAGAAGATTTGCCGATGGAGGCGGGAGCTCCGGGTTGGGATTGGTCGATTACAGACGGTCCCTGGCCTCGGCTGTCTTTTCAGTTTTTCATCATGGTGGACCAATGCGTTGCAAAAAACACGGGCGTGAGAAACACGATGAACTAAACTAAACTAAACTTAGGCAAAATTAATTCAATTAAGCTATTGTTAAACAGACTTTCACTTTTCACAATTGTATGCGTCTGAAGTTGTGTTAAAGGGTGCACGATCTGGCTGTGCTCAAAACAATATTTGTGCTCAAACTATCGTTGCAAAATCATAATGGGAGGTTTTCTTATAGCGACGCGCGTATATAACTAACGCATAACGTTGTTTCATTTTACGTTTGCTCGTAGTGTTACGGCTAAACGCCCCGTCACGTTATATTGCTGCGACACTGTGACATCATTCAAATTCTACTCGTGTCGCGTAATCAAGCGTGTTATATTATCAGTGCTGTCTATGTTTGCCAAGCCTGGGCCAACAATTAATTTTTTTTTTCTTGTTTTCTCGGGGCCACATCCCCAGTGGCCGCGAGCACATTAACGCTACCCTTCAAAGAGGTCAATTCAAAAGCACCCAGTTTTACGAGGTAGATGATTTATTACAACTATTCGTGACGCGAATACGCAAAACGTTATCGTTGCACGCGCTTTATAATTGTACATGCATTTTCCGCATACTGCTCTCTAGATTTGTCAGCACTATAACCTGTCTAACCTTGAAGTCAGTGAAGTGTGTGGGCGTAGGGGTGAAATTCCTGTAACTTATGTAACTACATACGTGTTGCCACGTGCACACCAAACCAGTAGAGCAGCTCATTCAATCGAATTTCGTGTCCACTCCGATGCTAGTTTACAAAAGGCGCGCGTCGGTTCCCTTAACGATGACGTCACTTCCTCAGCGAGCTACGAGCTACCACCGGACGCGATCCGCGTCGGGCGTCCCATGGTGCATCAGTCTGCATTGAGGCAGGGCCTACTGGGGAGCTGCGTTACATTGATGATATCCCAAAATACGCAGGTAACCGATATGGTCGGCAGGGCCATAACTTGGGAGGGAGGGGGTGTAATGACGAAGCTGCTCCTCTAGATTTTGGAAAAATATAAGTCTAATAAATTATATAGTGTATTTTCCTTTAAGATCAGCGTAAAAATACTATGTAGGTGTCCGTGAAACCCTCGGCCCAAACTCACCAGCAACACGAGGTACGTGAGTTGGGAGCTGTGCCGCTCTCTCTCTCGCTCTCTCTCTCTCTCTCTCTCTCTCTCTCTCTCTCTCTCTCTCTCTCTCTCTCGCTCGTTCTCTCTCTCTCGCTCGTTCTCTCTCTCTCTCTCTCTCTCTCTCTCTCTCTCGCTCGCTCGCGCTCGCTCTCTCCCTCTCTCTCTTCTCCTTCTCTCTCTCTCTCTCTCTCTCTCTCTCTCTCTCTATCTCTATCTCTCTTCGCTCTCTCCCTCTGCCCTCTCTCTCTCCCCTCTCTGCTCTCTCTCTCTCTCTCTCTCTCTTCTATATATATATATATATCTCGCTCTCTCTCTCTCTCGTCATGACACACCTGAGTCTGGCTGTGTCTGATCACCTCGCTGTAATTTTAATCGCTTGACACAAACGGTATTTTGACACGTTATACAAGTCACTTGGGTTGCGGTGCGTGCGTGCGTGCGTGCGTGTGACTGAAGTTAGTTATGCCATATGTTATCTAGAGTTATCGACAATCGAGTGCGTGTGATATATATATATACATATATATAGGCCTATATATATATGTAATGGTTGTGCGATGGTTATGTTGTTATAGATGAACTTTACTTGGGACTTGTCCTCAGCAGTAAAGCGCACGCGACAATTGTGTCAGTAGACAAGAGCCAAGCGATGAAGGCTGCTGCGAGTGGTAGCATTTGTCGATTACAGAGACGTTCCAGGTAGCAACAAAACTGGAGCCATCTTGAAGGATGAAGAGGTTTTTGCCTCACACGAGGTGTGTGATAATAATGAACGGAGACATATCTCCGTGGCGTGGTAGTCTATTTCGTCAGATTGTTTATTTTTTCCCGTGTTTTCACTACGTGCTTAAACAATATTTACTATGTGGCGCGTGTAACTCAAGTTAGTGATAAAAATTAAATTGCCAAATTAGGCAATGTTATAAAGACTTTACACTATAAACAAAACTATTGCCCCGAGCGCGCAGAATTGACTAGGTTCTGCGTCGCGTGCAATCGCGCAGTATCAGTTATTATTATTATTAATATTAGATTGTTGTTGTTGTTGTTGTTTTTTTATTGTTGCTTGTGTGTTATAGTTAACCAGTCATATCATTATCAAGCAGCAGCCATCATCATTATCGTCATGCGTCGTCGTCGTTCATCCTCATCATCGTCATCGTCATCATCATCTCGTATCATCATCATCATCAATCATCATTCATCATCATCATCTCAATCATCATTATTTAGTGATTACCATTGTTGTATATAGGTTGTGTGCCAGCGGTCAGGTCATAGCCGGCATTGTTGTTGCTTTGACACTCAAAGGCTACTGCGCAGCGCCCCCAGCGGCGAAGCTGGTAAAGATTGAATACAAAGACCTTCCTGCAATCATCACGATAAAGGTGGGCAAGGAATTTAAGACACATCGATGAAGGAAGGCTTAGTGATACATGCTATATACTATAAATATACTTGCTATAATATAGATAATATATCGTAAACTAATATAATAATATCAAGCGTCCATAATAGAACATTTATGATTTATTTTTACAGAAAATTTTCTATTATGGACTCTTTGATAATATACAATATAAATAGTAATCGATATACATAAATAATGTATATGGAAGTAATAGTGATATATAATAAGTAATATATAAGCAGTAAGTAATATATAATAAAGAGAGGTATAAAATATCGATGGGATAACTGCTAGACATAACATGTATCTCAATGCTATTTATGCTACTTACGTGATGCGGGATAACTCACTTATACTACAATCCTATCTTAAGTAATCATAGTATATATATATATATAATATACCGGCTATAATATCTTTTCTACGTTTGTTTATTTCATCAACGTTTAGTACGTTATCACGTGCGAAAGCAAAAGAGAACCATCGTTTATATCTCAGAGACTTGTTGTTTCATTATTAAGCAGAGCATATTCATTTCAGGAAGCCGTCGATTCGAAGTCTTTCAGTGGGAGTCCACTTCGAATCATGACTGGTAGTTTGGAGAAGGGGCTCGCCGCTGCAGACCACGTCGTCGAGGGCGAGTGGAAGATGGGGGGACAGGAACACTTCTATCTAGAGACGCAGGCCTGCATCTCCATCCCCAGCGGTGACGGCACGGAGATGACGATTATCAGTTCATCGCAGTCCCTGTCTAAATGCAGGTACTCCCCGCTCGTTCACTCACTCACTCTCTCACTCACTCACTCAATCAATCAATGACTCACTCACTCACTCTCTCACTCACTCACCCACTCTCTGTCGCTCGCTCGCTCGCTCGCTCACTCACTCACTCACGCTCTCGCCCACTCGCTCACTCACTCAATCACTCACTCGACTCATCACCTCACTCACTCACTCACTCACTCACTCACTCACTCACTCACTCACTCACTCACTCACTCACTCACTCCACTCACTCACTCACTCCACTCACTCACTCACTCAATCATCACTCACTCACTCACTACTCACTGTCACTCAACTCATCACTCACTCATTCTCTCTTTCACTCACTCACTCACGTCACTTGCCTCACTCACTAACTCACTCACTCACTTCACTCACTCACTCACTCACTCACTCACGCACTCACTCACTCAACTCACTCACTCACTCACTCACTGTCACTCACTCACTCACTCACTCACTCACTCGCTCGCTCACTCACTCACTCACTTAGCTTACTTAACTTTTATTCGCTCACTCACTCACTCACTCACTCACTCACTCACTCACTCACTCATCACTCAACTCATTCACTCACTTCACTCAATCAATCAATCCAAATCAATCACTCACTCACTCACTCACTTCACTCACTCACTCACTCACTCACTCACTCACTCACTCACTCACTCACTCACTCACTCACTCACTCACTCACTCACTCACTCACTCACCCACTCACTCACTCGGGCTCACTCACTCACCCGCTCGCTCACGTTACTCTCTCTCTCTTTCGCCCACTACTTCACTCACTCATCACTCACTCACTCACTCACTCACTCACTCAGCTTCGCTCACTCACTCACTCATTTCACTCACTCACTCACTCACTCACTACTCATTTCACCAAACTAACTAACTAACTCACTCACTCACTCACTCATACATTCACTCACTCACTCACTCAGTCAATCAATCACTCACTCACTCACTCACTCCACTCACTCACTCACTCAATCAGCATCATCACTCGCGTCACTTCACTTCTCTCTTCTCTCTCTCTCGCTCGGCTCGTCACGCTCTTTCCACTCCGACGCACGCACGCACGCAGCACGCACGCATTCACTCACTCGCTCACTCACTCATTCACTCATCCGCCTCGCTCACTCACTCACTTCACTCTCTCGCCCTCACCTCGCTCACTCACTCACTTCACTCACTCACTCACTCACTCACTCACTCAATCAACTGTTCACTCACTCACTCACTCACTCACTCACTCACTCACTCACTCACTCACTCACTCACTCACTCACTCACTCACTCACTCACTCCCTGGCTTACTTGCTTACTTACTTTACATCCGACGCCCTTCTCGTTTGATACAGTGAATCCACATTTTTTCGTAATTGCGCAGGCACTAGCAGCAAGCACTCTAGAATACCCGCTAATAGGATAGTCTGCAAGGTAAAAGCGAATAGGTAAGTGGCTAGCAGCAAGAAATAATGGTTAGGCTATCTCTCAGGCAAGGATATGTGTTCGAGATGTCTCGCATTTAGTGTTATCTCCATAAATATTATTATTATTATCATCATCATCATCATCATCATCTAATTATTTATCTAGTATATTATTTACTCATTCTAATCTGATGTTCATATTTTGAGGAGGGCTGCTTCGGCGGGAAGCATGACGAGATTTTCCATAGTAAAACCAACGTCTGGTGCTGTCGCTGCTTCAGAAGTAAGCGAGCGTGGTAAAAGAAAACTGAAATAAAACATTAATACATATAAAATATAACATCCGTGTTTTTATTTTGTTAATTGTCGGGGTATTGAGTTGTTGGAGGGTCTGAATGCTGAATACAATTACTTCTTTTTTTACTTTATTTTACAATTTGAGTGAGTGGTGGCAACACAATGCGCGTACTCTATATTATCTACTTGTTTATTTAATTCTGTTCAAAAATACCTAACACAAGGTCTTATCAATGTCATATTATCACAAATTACGACTTACGACGAAAATGGAATAGTGTTGTCCAAAATTTTGAGCTTGAGTCGATACTATTTTTCATGTCAGGTGGGAATTCCGACCAGTCAGCGACTTATTTTGGACAGAGAATGAAGACAATGGCTCATGATGGTGGAAGATGGCATCTATGTTGGTCCAAATTACAAGGTACACACGCTTGTATATAAATTTATTCATACACATCTTTATATATGTTTATATATATGTTGTGTGTGCTGTGTGTGTGCGCGCGGCGGCCACGCGCGTGTGTGTGTGGGTGTGTGTGTGTGTGTGTGTGTGTGTGGTGGTGTGTGGGTGGTGTGTGTGTGTGTCGTGTTTGGTGTGTGTGTGTGTGTGTGTGTGTGTGTGGTGTGGTGTGTGCTGGTGTCGTCTCTGCTTGCGTCGCGGTGGTATGCTCGCGTGTTCATGTGCCAGTCTATGTGGGCATATAGAAATCGGTAATTTGCAATAACTTTTTTCTACTAAAAATTCCACACGCTGTAAATTTGTTTGCCTAGAGTGTAACTGAAAATAAAATCAGGGGTAGATAATGACAAATTCGTCATTATCTACCCTTGATAAAATGTATCTCGTACAAGGATGAGTCAGTCAATTCAATACTCATCCTCACCTCTGCTATTCTATATCAGGTGGGCTTCACAAGTGAAGGACGGCTTCTAGCACTGGACTGTACTGTATATCTTAACGGGGGATGCTCCTATGACCTCTCAATTCCGGTGAGTGTGTACTACTTAGTCAACCCTATAGATAAGCATCACTCAGTGGAATCGTCAGTATATAGGGGTCTGTATAGACACGTGCTCGTGCTATAGTGGTAAGCGGTAAGTTTACCACGCTATATATACAACGTGTATTATCTCCCAATGTTTTTAAGTTTTGGCATACTCTTTCCTTTGTGACCTTGCCTTTACGTCCACCGTCGTCACACATTACATGTTATACCGTTACATGTTATACCGTTACATGTTATACCGTTACATGTTACACGTTACATGTTATACCGTTACATGTTATACCGTTACATGTTATACCGTTACATGTTATACCGTTAATGTCTTACGTTACATGTTTACCGTTACATGTTCTATACCGTTAATGTTATACCGTTACCTGTATATACCAGTTAGCCTTACATGTGTATACCGTTACCATGTTATTACGTCTGGTACCGTACAGTTATACGGTTAACATGTTATACCGTTACATGTATAGATTACCAGTTATACCGTCGTTCCGTTACATTGTATATACCGTTAAATGTTAACACCGATTACATGTTATACTCGTTACATGTTGTACGTTACATTGCTTATAGCCGTACATGTAGTATACCGTACTAGTCTGTACCTTCCCATGTTATACCGTTACATGTTACACGTTACCATGCGTATACCCGTTACATGTTACACGTTACATGTCTATACGTTAATGTCTATACCGGTAACTGTTACACGCTTACATGTATATACGGTACATGTGTATACGTTACATGTTACTACCGTTAATGTCTATACGTTACATGTTATACGCGTTACATTGTATATACCGTTACATTGATTAGACCGTTTACGTGCTTATACCGTGTACGATGTTACGTACCGATTACACGTTACATCGTTAGTTACCGTTGCATGTTACACCGTTACAGTTATAGCGTTACATGGTATACCGTTACATGTTATACCGTTACATGTGTATACCGTTACATGTTATACCGTCTGAAACTGTTATACCGTTACATTGTGTATACCGTTACATAGTTAACACGTTACATTGTTATACCGTTTACATTTATACCGTTAATGTCTATACCGTTAAATGTTATACCGATTACATGTTATTCACGTAATGATTACGTTACATGTGATACCCGTTAATGTTATATACCGTTTACATGTATACACCGTTACAGTGTTGTTTAATTGGTATACCGTTACGATGTTATAACCGTTCACATGTTATACCGTTACATAGTTCATTACCGTTAAATGTTATACCGTTACAGTACTTTAATGTATATACCGTTACATAGTTATACCGTTACGATGTTATACCGTTACACGTCGTTATACCGTTACATGTTATACCGTGTACAGTTATACGCTTACATGTTATAGCCGCCCTTACATGTTATACGCTTACATGTTATACCGTTACATTTGTTACGCGTTACATGGTTAGTACGTATACCAGTTACAGTTATGTTACACCGTTACATGTTATACCGTTACATGTTACACGTGTGACGATGTGTAACATGTCGCAATCGGCGCCCAGCAACTAAAGTTCATTAAGTTGCGCAGACGCCGTTGTTTCTGCGTTTACGGAAACTAAAGTAGGCCCAAGGAAAAGTGTTCTTTAGTTCTAAGCCAATCCGTGCAGGTACCCGCACGGCGCAATGTCACCCGTATATTGACGTGGTAATCGTGAGCTCGTTAATACTCTGCGGAGTTTGTGGCGATACACACGCAACACGACACGAGACGCACGGAGCAACGACCACACGCACACCCACGCACGCACGCAGCGCATACACGCGCGCGGTCACGCACGCAACACGCACGCAGACGCCACACACACACACACAAACACACACACTCACTCCGACCCCCCCCGCCTTCGAGTGTAGTACATTGCGAACATAAATCGCCCTTGCGCGTCACAGTCCTCAAGAGAAACGATTATGCCACATAGACAACTGGCATACGAAAAATTCCTAACATGAAAGTAGATAAGGACATGTCTGCAAGTACCAACCTGCGTCTCAACACGGGCTATCGCGGGTTCGGAGGAACCGGCAAGGCGTCATATCGCGGAGGGTTTTGTACATTACACATTCGCCGACACGCTGGGGAATCACGCGGAGGAGGTAACAACGTGAATAATAACGATTGATGAGTATTAGCTACTGCTGCTTAGCTACTGCTGCTGCTGCCGCTGCTGCTGCTGCTGCTGCTAGCTGCTGCTGCTGCTGCTGCCTGCTTGCTGCGTCGCTGCTGCTACTACTACGTGCTACTGCCTGCCTGCCTTACTGCTGCTACTGCTCGCGACTGCTGCTGCTGGCTGGCGGCTGCATGCCCTACTGTTTCTACCTACTGCTACTTTGCTTACTTGCCGGATTTTCGCGTGCGAAAGTTTTTTAATCTATGAGCGCATTACTTACGGTAGGCCGGGATTATGTCTGTGTGTCAAAATGTGTGTATAATGTGTAATTGTAATGTAACATGTAACATATAAACGCAATGACTAGGTTAATAGCAGATATTATTCCTCCTGCCCTCGTTAACACATCATTATCGGTTAGGAAATAAATCCACACGTATACGAATACATCGGACACCAGCATCCAAATTATGAACTGAATAGCTGTACGAATGTCAACTTAACTCGAATGCTAATCTAACCTCTCTTCTTCAGGTGAGAGCGAAGAATTTCTACAGAGAAGGAGATTTGACTCATTACAAGGAGCCCATTGAGAACATCACGTTGAGTAGATGCTGGCAGGAATGTGAGACACAGGCTGATTTTGTACGCAGACGTGCCGACATCATGACCTTTAACGGGTATCACAACTAATATTTATATTTCTGCGTTAGAATATATATATATATATATATATATATATATTATATTTTGTGTGATACAAGCAACCGCATTTGTATTTAACAAGTTACTTGGGATGTTATATATAGTCTTTTGTATTATGTATTTTTTATTATTTTTTTTATGTGTTTTTGTAGAATTTTCTAATGCAACTTATAATTTTGCTTAGAATCTCGAGCTATAATTATCTTGTATTTGATGTTTCTCATCTTACAAAAATAGAGGGTCAAAATATTGTGTGTGGCTAATGTAGTTAATTTATTAGTTTTTAACGAAAAACTTTCTTATATAGATATGCTTTATTTATAGACAGAATCGATGGCAGAAGCGCGGGATAAGCATGACAGGGTTGAAATTTGGGATTGCATTTGGCGCCAAATTTATGAATCAGGTATATTACCTACGACACAAGCAGAAAACACCAAGTATTACCTTTTTCCCTATCTCTCTCTTTCTCTCTCTTTCTATCTTTCTCTCTCGCTTTCTCTCTCTCTCTCTCTCTCTCTCTCTCTCTCTCTCTCTCTCTCTCTATATATATATATTTATTATTTGTTAATTGCATAGCTTATATAGAATTACAATATTTTAAAGATAGACGGGAGCATACACAGACAGACAGCGAGACAGGCAACAAGTGACGAACGGACGGACGACCGGACAGACGGACGGACGGACGGACGGACGGACGGACTAACGGACATATATACTTAAAGATAGACAGATCGACAGCGTGACAAACCGACAGCTTTGCGTGAAATTAATTCACGTAATTAATAATTAATAATCGTTTCCTATAGGCTGGCGCGCTCGTGCTGATATATACGGACGGGTCTGTGCTCATCTCCCACGCAGGCACCGAAATGGGGCAAGGCCTCCACACGAAGATGATACAGGTTAACATACTCTCATTTCGTGCACGCGCAGGATTGTCGACCCAGGATTTCACAGCGTCCATTTTCGATATGTCAAACGCTTCTAGTTCATCTTGATTCAGTGCTAAACGTTATAGCACGATGACATCGAGTGTAAATCTGCTCAACCCCACACGGGGTAGTGCAGTGTATCTACCTCCACTAGACCAGTGGTTCTTCCCCTTTTTTAGCTCATCTGACGTAGTCAGATGCAGCTTGTAGAATCGCATGATCGTGCGTCCGTCCGTCCGTCCGTCTGTCCGTCCGTCAACATTTGGGGGTCAACGGTCAAAGATGTGTAAACGGAGGGGGAATATTTGCCCCTTAACTTAAGGTATAGGAGGAAATACGGAATTGCGGCAGAAATCTTAACGGCTCGACCTATGCTCTTAATAATCGGTGTATAGTGTGATGGGCAGGAAACCCATTACCAGTGCGAAATTGGAGGTTACAGGTCAAAGGGCAGTGGGAAAAGGTCAGATATCAGACATTTTCTAAAGACATGGCCTAATGGACAGAGTGAAAGACTTTTTTGTTTCAGCGCTGGCCTACCATTTTTATCACTTTATTGAAAGGACCATGAAATGTGCTTTCCACTGACGTGCGAAGAGTAAGTGTCTGATAACCTTTTGACCCTCAAGAGGAGGGTTAAAGGGTTAAACATGGATTCCTGAACTGCCTAAATGACGTCACAGTGTTGTCATATTCATGGCACATCCATAATCTAGAAACCCAATAAGCCTGGATAGCCAAACGCGAACAGCACAGGCGTCACGGCTGAAAGGTCGTTGGATCGAATCCCACCTGATTTTTTATTATTTACCTGTTTTCTGTGTTTTTCTATCTTTATCCATTTAATTTTTTTTCCAATTAAAGGAAATATTTACATGATTTATTTACAACAATTTAATAACAACAAATAATTTTTACAACAATTAATTTTTATATTTTTTTTAATAGGGTTAGGGTTAGGGTCAGGATTAGGGTTAGGGTTAGGGTTAGGGCCACAATGCACCATAAAACAGGAGTTTTAGGCACGCGATTTGTATCAATAAATGGGATTTGGGAGGTATGCAGAATGCAGAAAGTTGCTGAAATGATGTGTACGCAACTACGTATCTGCATATCTGCGCCTAACAAAGGTGTCACTACGCACGACTTAAATGTTACGTTTATAACCGTAGCAACAGACCTCAGATGAGCCCAGACGCTCTGCGGCTCTTGTTGACTCATAGACCCCATTGAGAATCTGGTGAAAAACCCCTCCCTAGAAAAATGCGCATAAGCACATAAGCACAATATTTTGCATGTGCCTGGTTCACGGACTCCCTGAAGCGCATCCACAGATTCCAAAGGAGTAATTATTGTAATGATTATCCGAAACAGCACAACTCTGCTATAATGATTAATACTATTATAACACATAGGAAATAACGACTAGCACTACTACCAGGAGTGTTAGAATAGAGACGTTATATATACGTGTTTATATTAGCAGGAGTGAATAATCATAGATTATCACTATGTTTTATTAGTCACTTCTGATATTATCAAGAGCTCATAATACCTTCTATTATTAGTATAGGTATATTTATAGGTAGTATAGGTAGTATAGGTATTATTAGCTCTTGATATTATGCCACTCCTGCTACTACTACGGCTGATGTGTTTCTGACAACGACCTGCAGGTAGCAAGCAGATGCCTGGATATTCCTGTAGATCGCATACACATTAGCGAGACAGCGACCGACAAAGTGCCGAATACTATTGATACTGCCGCAAGCTTCAGCTCCGACCTCAACGGAATGGCCATCATCGTTAGATAATAATAATAATAATAATAATAATAGGAAGAATAATAATAATGATTGAAATCAATTGATCTATATCTACCTTACGTGATTTTGGGATGCACGCATAAAAGCACGTATCAAATGGAATAGATTGACTAAACTAGCTATTACAGAACTAGTATCTAAGGAGGGACGTGATTATCTTGTTCAATCAAATAGTTCAGTTGTATTGTTTTTATATT